AAATGAACTCAGGATGATGGGATTTGGTTGGGCCTTTTCTCCGGCAAAGTATGTCCCATGCATATGTCAAAATCATGTAGGACTCTTTAAAAGAAGTAACCAAAAAATAACTTCAACCCTCTGGTTATTAATAATCAACAGGAACACAAGGCACACTATCTGACTGCTAGTGGCACTACTGGCACCAACACAGAGCTGACCGAGGCAGGAAGAAGAGACTCACCCCAAGTCATACAATGAATAAGTCTTAGATACAGGATGCAAGCCCAAGTCTTCTCTACTCCAAGTCTAGCACTCTAACACAACACCACCCTCCCCAAATTAATGTTAAAACAAGGCAAATGACAGGGCATGGGCCCAACTTGATTTGTTATAGGTGCTGTTGTTGTTGTTGTTTGTCCTTCATCCTCGAAGAGGACCATGACATCAGGGAGGGGATGCCATGACATGCAAGTGAATTGGATCTAAGTGAGGGAGGGCCGTGCAAAGTCACCAGCCTCACTTTCTCCTTCGAAGCCGTGGCATGCTGTCTTCATGGAGGGTGTCCAGCACAGAGCCCAAATGGAAAAGAGTTTCCTTATAAAGGATGAAGGCCTATGTACCGATTTGTTTGCCTATTTGCCTGGTTTTAAAGAGGGGCTTCTATTTGGGGGAGGGAGAAGAAGGACAGGGGAAAGTATTGGAACACTTCAAAATTAGCAGGAGAAAACAAAAGAAGTTCAGAAGTGGACACAAACAGGGTAATTTTGTTAGTACCCACATAAATTACTAAAATCAAACATATGCTTTTAAAAAACAAACTGCAACAGACACAATTCTATATATAATCCTATTTTTTGTTCTTTGTATATCAGATTATTTCTGGTGATAATTAAGTTGATAATTTTTTAAAGTTTTAAATTTTAAATGATGCAAACAATGTATTGTTGTTCAGTTGTATCCAGCTGACTCTCCACGACCCCATTTGGGGTTTTCTTGGCAGAGATACTGGAGTAGTTTGCCATTTTCTTCTCCAGCTCATTTTACAGATGAGGAAACTGAGGCAAAAAGGGTTAAGTGACTTGTCCAAGGTTACACAGCTAATAAGTGTCTGAGGCCAGATATGAACTCATGAAGATGAGTCTTCCTGACTCTAGGCCCTGCACTCTGTCCACTGTGCCACCTAGCTGCCCCTTAATCTCTCAGTGCCCCCAGGTAATTTTCTAAGGCTAAAAGATTCAAAGACGTTGCCATCAGTAGAATGAGTTTACTCCCTGGGAATTCTCTTCACTTATGAAATCAGGTCTGAACATGCTGACAAAATGAGCACCTTTAACTCAGTCTACTTCCTGGCGCATATTCTACACTGGAGCCATACTAAAGCTCTTACCATCCCTGCTGTACACATGTATACACACACACTCACACACACACACACACACCACACACACACACGCACACACGCATACACACACACTCCTTTCCCCTGCTTTTCTGTCTTTGCACATTTGCCCCTGCCCAGAAGGCTCTTCTTTCCCTTCTACTTGCTGAATTTCTGTCAATTCCTTTAAAGTTCAGGTCAAATATCACTTCCTCCTAGAAGCCTCTCCCATCCTTCCCCCATCCAGTAAAAAATAAGCTTTCTTCCCTCTCACCTCCCTTAACACTGCATGAATACCTCTCTACTTACATTATCTGCATTAAAAATTCCTCCTGCAAAGCCTCATCATGGCTTGGAGGGGATCCTTGGCTACCAAAGTCACTGCCAGAAGAGCACCAGCCATGCCAGCCTCTACCACATTAGGAAGGCTTTGTCAATGGTCCAGGCAACAGACTAGGTTTGCATTTGGAAGATCAGCCTAGCTAAATACTTGAAGGCTCTTCACCAGTAGATTGACAATTTGATGAAGTCTTTGGTCATGATAACCAACAAAACCAAGTTATTTGTCTAGTTATCAGATTTCCCCACTAGACTGGAAACTCCATGAGGTCAGGGACTAGGCTTTATATTGCTCCATGCCTAGGTTAGTGTGTGGAGAGACAGAGTAGGTGCTTAACCTATAAGAAAACCATCTATACCTATATCTAAATCTATATCTATACACATATTTGTGTACATATACAAACCTATATATGTATGTGTATGTATATATACATACACATAAATATATATGCACACATATGTGGTTTTATGTATATATTCATATACATGTTTTTCTCATGTATTAAACACCTAATAGGTATATATGGTTACATATAACCACATGCATGGTTATATATAACCATATATTTATATATGTGATTCTTATTACACATCTAGTCTGTATCTCTTTCTATATAGATATACATATATACACATAAGTATGTAATATTTGTCAACTATACATATTTATGCATACCATAAATTATGGTAGGGAGCTGAGGTCATCTCATCCAACCCCCTCATATCATAGATGAAGAAACTAAGGCCCATGGAGGTCGTGACATGTCATTAGTGGCAGAGTTCCTTCTGTAAACTGAGATTCAGGAGCTCCAGGTTCTAAACCCACCTCTGCCCCCATTGTTATCTTGGGTCAATCACTTTCCCCCTCTCAGCCTCAGTGTCTGTTACACTGTGAGCTCCTTGAGAACAGGGACTGTTGCCTATCTTTGTATCCCTAGCACTCAACAGTGTCTGGCACATAATACGTGCTTGGTATTTGCTGACTGTCCTCATTTGTAAAATGAAGAGGTTGGGTAACAGGGAGGTGACACAGTAGATAGAACACTGGGCCTGGAGTCAGGAAGACCCGAATTCAGGTCTTACTTGACTACTTACTACTTGTGTGACCCTGGACAAGTCACTTAACCTCTGTTTGTCTCAGTTTCCTCAACTATAAATTGGGGATAATAGTACCTGCCTCACAGGGTTATTGTGGGGAATTGAATGAAATAATATTTATACAGCACTTAACACAGTACCTGGTACATACTATATTGTTACTATCATTATCATTATTAGGATAATGCTAGGTAACCTCGGGGCAGGTAGGTAGCATAGTGAATAGAATGCCAGGCCTAAGATCAAGAAGACTCATTTCCATGAGTTCAAATCAAGCTTCAGACACTTACTGGCTATGTGACCTTGGGCAAGTCATTTAACCCTGTCGGCCTCAGTTTCCTCATCTATAAAATAAGCTGGAGGATAAAACGGCAAACCACCCTAGTATCTTTGCCAAGTAAACCCCAAATGGGGTCACAAAGAGTCAGACATGACTGAAACAACCGAACAACAACAGGAAACCTCTAAGGTCCCTTCTAGCTGGAATGTGCTATGAGCTATAAAAAGGAAAGGATTACAAGAAAAATTCCTACCTTCTTGGAATAGTTTAAGAATAAACCAAGTAATCTCTATCCAGGTACCTTTTGCTTATCCTTAAATAAGCAGAGGCCAAAAGGAAGATACAGAGATAACTCAAGGCCTCATCAAGTACTCTCATACTGGTAACCCCCCAAAATGGTTAATCAATTGGAATATGTTCTTGCCACTGTGGAAATTGAATGACCCAAGTGTCTTTGAAAGTTGGTGCCCCTGAAAGAATGGGGGACATAGGGGAGAAGATGAAGCAAAGAGTAGACCATTAGTAGGGTTTTGAAAAAAAAGAAGAAAACCCTTTAATTTTCAGCAAAGTTCCATTGGATTTAATATACAGGGAAGGCAGGAAATTGTTGTGGGTTGGGGGAGTGATGTCCATTGGGTGGGTGAGAGAAAGGACAATAGCTCATGAGGCACACAGACAAGCTAGTCAGTCCTGTTTTAGATAAAGATGAGAGAGGCTATATAGTTTGGTGAAAGTTAGAGGTCATGGCTTCAAATCCCATCTTTGCCATTTATTACCTATGACTGGGCAAATGACCACCCCTCTGGGCTTCGGTTTTTCCTCATCCATAAAACTAAAGGGTTGAATTAGATGCCTTCTAAGAGCATATGAAATACTAATCACAGCTCACATTTTGAAAGAATTATAGTCTACCAAGCACTTTCCTTCCAACAAACCCATGAAGAATAATAGCTAGCATTTATATAGAGTTTTAAATTTTGCAAAACACTTCACAAACATTATCTCATTTGATCCTCACAACTCTGGGAGGCAGAGGTTATTATTATCCCCATTTTACAGGAACATACTATTGTTCCCCTTTTCACAAAGGAGAAAACTGAAACTCAGAAAGGCTAGGTAACTTGCCAAGGGTCACACAGCTGATAAAAGTCTGAATGAGGATTTGAACTCTGGTCTTCCTGACACCAGGTCTGGCTCTCCTCCCACTACAGAATGCTGCATCCTAAACTGAGACTTGAGCCAAGATCTATTGAGACAGACAGTAGGTATGAGGAAACTGAGGCAGTCAGAGGTTGACTTGCTCAGGTTTGCATGGCTAGAAAATGTCCAACTTAAGTCTTCCTGACTCTCTGTCTAAATGCTCTATCCATTTCACCCCTCAGCGGCCCTGAACTACCTACCATGAGATAGGTAATGCAAATGTTTCTATCTTCATTTTTGCAGAAGCAATCAATAAGCATTTATTCTTTTAACTTAGTTTTTTTTTTAATGAGCAAAAATCTATTTTCTCTCCCCTACCCCCAACCCCTTCCTTCTCATTAGGAAAACAAAACAAAACAAAACTCTTTCAACAAGCATTTATTAAGTACCTACTATGCACCTGGCCACATGTTGGATACGAGGTATACAAAGACAGAAATGAAATATCTCCACCATGTCAGGAAGCTTACATTCCATACATTTCCAAAAGAGCTGAACTGATTTACAGAGATTTACTGGTCACAGAGCAACAGTATTTAAACCCAAGTCTCTCCTGATTTCATGTAGAGAACCGTACCACTCTACCTGCCTAAGGAGAAAATTAACCCATATACTTGTGACAGTCAATGGATTTTGGCTGAATTTTACCCAATTTTGTTTGTTTCTTTAATTGCTTACAAATAAAATAATTCTCTGTTGGTTTTTCCCCCTTTTTTTCAGATCTTGAATCCAAATTTCATCCAAGAAGGTGAGTTAAAGAGAAGTATTTGAAAGTTAAAAAACATATTGGGTGACATTAGAGAGTTTTCTATGGACTCCGACCAGGGAGGAGTAATTCAGACTGATTAGTCAACAATAACAACAAGCATTTATTAAAACACCTACACTGTGTCAAGAACTGAGCTAGGTCAGGAAGATGCAAAGTCAGAACAAAACTGAGTCTACCCTCAAGGAGCTTATATTCTACTGGAGGAGATGATGCTAGAAAGATTAGAGGGGAGTGGAAAGTGTGCTGCAGAACAATATGCTTAGCTGGTGGTTATTCCCATCATTATCACCTGGGTCTACTTGTGGAAGGCATGGGATGGGGAGGGGCGGGGTGAGGATGGACAGTGTTGTTTGATTGGAGGTGTGTTTTAAGCTTGCACTGGCTGTGTGTTATTTGGATTACAGTTGCCCCTGAATTCCTCGTGCCCCTGATGGATGTGACCTGCTTACTGGGTGATACCGTGACCCTGCAGTGCAAAGTGTGTGGGAGACCAAAGCCCAACATTATCTGGAAGGGCCCTGACCAGAACATCCTGGACAATGACAACAGCACGGCCACATACACAGTCTCTTCCTGGTAGCTGCATGCCCCTCCCCTGATCATCAGCACCCACTCCTCTACGAGCAGGGAACCCTTTTTACCTTAACCACATAGAGCAGAGTGCTCCTGAGGCCAGGTTTATAGGTCTCCCAGAGTGGCCACCTAATTTGTCCCAGTGAAAAACTTCCTTGGACCTAGTTCTTTGGGCCTGGAGTCAGAAGATCTCAGTTCAAGCCTCAGCTTAGGAGTCAGCATCGTGGACAGAGAGCTGGACTTGGTGTCAGGAAGCCCAGAGTTCAAATTCTCATTCAGACATTTACTAGCTGTGTGACCCTTCCAAGTCACTTAGCCTAGGTGAGCTTCAGTTTTCTTCTTTGTTAAAATGGGATACTATGGAAAGCCTTTTACAAGCCTTAAAGCACTATCTAAATGTGAGTTATTATTATTACCATTATTACTACCACCACCACCACCACTATTCCTACTACTACTATGACTACTTCTTTACTATTCCTACTACTACCACTATTACTACTACTATCATTATTACTACCACTAATACTATTGCTACTATTTTATTATTACTACTATTACTATTACTACTACTATCACTACCACTACTACTCTTACTACTACTGTTATTACTATTGTTACTACAAGTATTACTACTACTACTACTACTACTACTACTACTACTACTACTACTACTACTACTACTACTACTATTAGTACTATTACTACTACTATTACTACTATTTCTAGATGTATGACCATTTAGCCCCTCTAGGCCCTGGTCTCTCTATCTGTAAAATAAGAATAATAGAGGCAGATGCAGAAGAGGATTTTATACCTGTAGTATCTACTTCACACAATCCTCTCCTACTCCCAGGGTTTCACCATATTGGTGATCTACTTAGCTCACTATAGCTCAGAACTCCTGAGTCAAAGTGATCCGCCAGACTCAGCCTTCTAGCAGCAGGGATTTCAGGTGTGTTCTGCCAAGTGCACCTGAATTTATCTTAAGGGCTTAATGTGAGGGTACATTTCAGGATGCATGTTTCATGAAACTTAACCCAGGCTCCCAAATTGCGAGCTATGGCTATGGAGTACCTGCGAAATGTGCCTCCCATATCCTCTAAATTGTCAAGTAATTATTTGGGCGTTCCCTAAATGTGTTAAGTCTTGAAATAGTTGAATGGAAGGGCTTCTCCTTGATACTCTGTTAGTCTTCCTTTTTCATTTTCTTAAATCAATAGTGAGAGGCAGGGTGTATAATAGATAGAGAGCTGGCCTCAGAGTCAGGAAGACCGGGATTCAAATCCTGCATCTGACAAATATTGGCTAGACCAAGCAAGTCACTTAAGTTCTCTATGCCTACATGAAATTTCCTAAGACTACAGTTCTCTATGCCTACATGAAATTTCCTAAGACTACAAGTTGTCAAGAAGGTGCCAGTCTTTAATGGCAGAAGAAAGTCTTCTCCTGGAGCTCTGTACACTAATGAAATTACCAGTTAGGTCTTGTGAAACCAAACAGAATGAAACAAAAACCATCTTTCCTTTCTTGGGGGTTGGGGGAGACTTCTAATGATGGTGAGAATAATGATGTTGGTGACACCTTGTGCTTTCAAATATATCCCATCATTTGATCCTTACAAGTACTATTATCTACATTTAACAAATGACAAAGCTGAGGTCCAGAGAGGTTTAGCCATTTACCTAAAGTCACACACCAAATTAGTAACAGAGCTGGGACTCAACCTCATGTCCCTGGACTCCTAATCCAGTGCTTTCTCCACTAGACCATGCAGTTCCACATCAGTCTGTGAGTCCACAGTGTGTTTTTTCTCTTTCCCCACTCCTGTCCCCTTCTCCCCATCACCCAATGCACTTATTCAATTCAACTATTCCTAATCTATCTTTTTAACATCCCAACAAATAACAAAAAGAATTCACTCCCTGGTTGTGGTGGGTGGCGGTTTGTTGCTATTGTTGTGTAGTGTTTTAACGTGCCTCTTTTAGGGAGTTCTATCATTCACCAGTTAGTGGTTGATCACTTATAAACTGCATGGGTTGGTAGCATAATCCCAGACTCAGCCTTAAACTAAGGCCCTCTGAGTCAAGCCAGTGATTCTAAGAATGCAGGAGGGGAAGATGGGAAAATGTTCTCCTAGATTTGTGAAACAGAACCTTTTCTCTAGTGATTCTGGTGAAATCGCTCTGAAGATCTGCAACCTGATGCCCCAGGACAGTGGGATTTACACATGTGTGGCAACGAATGACCACGGGACAGCATCAACATCAGCTACAGTCAAAGTGCAAGGTATGGTACCTTCTTTATCAATCCATTTAAATTGGCCAGCAAGGGACCCACCTGAGCTGCCAGCAAAATATGTAGAATCATGCAATTAGAGTTCTACAGAAAAGAGAGCTCAGAAGTCACCTAGTCTGACTCCTGAACCCTATCAATGGCTTTTTATTAAGACAAATGAAATTTATTTTTCAAAAGAAGTCTTGTCAAAGCCTTACCATCTGCCCTGTCATTGCAACCTCAAGACCACCAGATCTTTCTGCCTACCCTGCAACTTGAAACCTCTTACGTGTGTTGTCTCCTCAAGTTAGAATGTGAGCTCTTTCAGAGCAGAGTCTGTTTTTCATTTTTAGCGATATTCCAAGCACTTTATGGGGGCAGCTAAGGTGGTGCTGTGAATAGAGCACTGGGCCTAGAGTCAGGAAGACCTGAGTTCAAATCCAGCCTCAGACACTTACTAGCTGTGTGACCCTGGGCAAGTCACTTCACCCTGTTTACCTCAGCTTCCTCTTCTGTAAAATAAGCTGGAGAAAGAAATGACAAACCACTCCAGTATCTTTGTCAAGAAAACCCCAAATGGGGTCAGAAAGAGTAGGACATAATTAAAACAACCGAACAACAACAAAAAAGCACTTAACACAGTGATGTGTACGTATATTAACAGAGACAGAGATGGCGAAAAGGAGATGAGAGAAGCTTAATAAATGCTTTCCATTCCATAAAAGCCAATATTTTACAATCTATTACCTGTAAGGCAGAAATGTCTCAGCTGTTACCTACAACAATGTAGTATTTTATACCAAGAAAGCTCCTTCACTGAGCTCTTATGCTGTTTCCAAGTTACCTAGAGTCAGCATTCTAAAGTAAGCTAAGAAAAATAAACTGCAATATTTTTAAACTAGATAAATATATAAAATGCTAAAAATCTTGTGGAAGCCTATAAAAATATTCTTTTGTTATACCCAAATCAATATATAAAACTATGTAATTTCACCCAAAATTGCAAAATGTCTTCAAGAATAATCCTGTCTCTGTTGGTCCAAGGTGAGGAATTACAAGATTAACTAGTCTGGTTCAGAGAATTCAAAGACTAGAGAGATAGGCACATTCACCTTCAGCTATCTACAAGGTTTATTGGATAATTGCATGCAAGGTAATAATTCTCACCCAGAGACATTACCAGGGCATGCAAGGAAACCATTCTAACCTAGCACCATGTGTGCCTTGTTCAATGCTGTGGGATGTCTGAAACTAACACAGAGATCTCTGAGCAGCTCTTACGAGTCTATTATGGAGTCCTGTGCTCCATAATGCATGAATTTCAGTTAGACAAGAAGATTTCCTAAACAGCAGGGGTCAGTCAGTTAGTAATTCACCTGGTAGTGTAGGGGAAAGAGTACTATATTTGGTGTTAAAGGCCCTACTTGGCTGTTATGGACTTGGGACAAATCACTTAAGCATTATAGATATCTGTTTTTTTCATCTGTAAAATAAGGAAATTGAAATAGATGGTCTCTAAAACCCCTTTAAGCTTTTAAAGAGACAAATATGATGTAAGATGAAAATAGTCAGTGTTGGAAGACAGGTACATTAATGAATTGTTGGTAGAGCTGTGAAATTTGTTCAAATCTTATGAAATGCAATTTGGAATTATTTGAGAAAAGTTGCTTAACCATTGATTCTCTTTGATGCAGTGATCTCACTGCTGGGTATAATCCCCAAAGAGTTCAAAGACAAAAAGAAAGAACCCATACATAACAAAATACAGTAGCTTTTCCCTTCCCTTTGTGATGACCAAAAACTGGAACAAAGTGAGTGCCCATCAATTAGGAAATTTCTGAACAAACTGTGGTATATGAATGTAATGGAATATTATTGTGCTATAAGTAATTACAATTATAATAAGATAATATTTGGAAAGTACTTTGCAAACCCTAAAGTACTATATAAATGATAGCTATTATTATAAAGTACTCTGAGGAACATGGGAAGATTTATATGAAGTGATGCATAGTAAGGAGAACCAGGAAAAGAATACATGCAATAGCCCCAATAATGGAAATGATAACAACACTAAAAATCCATGGAACCCCAAATAATTGTAATGACCAATCTTAGTTTGAGAGACTTGCTGATTAAACACATCTTCCTCTTCTTGGTGTGTGTAGGAGAGGACTATGGATGTTGAATGTGGTGTAGTCTATCAGATTTGGACATTGTGTCAGTTGACTTTGCTAAAGTGTTGCTCTTTGCTACAAGACAGAATTCAACACGGTGGGGGTAGGGGGTAGGGGAAATGACTAGTATAAAAACAAAAAATAATACTCTTAAGAAAGAATTCCTTCTAGTTCTAAATCCCAAATATGATCATAAGATGATAGATTTGGAGCTGGAAGAGATTTTAGAGGTTATCAAATTCAAAACCATCATCCCCATTTCACAGATGAGGGAATAGAGGTCCAGAAATGTTAAGTGATTTGCCTAGGGTCACACAGCTAGTAAGCAGGATCCTGACCCAAGTCCTCCCTCATAACAAGTTCAACATTCTCTCCTATTGTCTTCTCAAACTTCAAGGTTGGGAAGAAGATAGATATGTCAACTGGCAAGGATGGACATGGGAGAGGGGAGGGAAGGGAGGAAATTGATACACAGGAAGGTAAAATAACATGTCTGAGGTCATATAATGACTGGCTTTGACCTTGGGCTTCCCCAGGTGTTCCGGCAGCACCAAATCGTCCCATTGCCCAAGAAAGGAGCTGCACATCTGTGATTCTCCGATGGCTGCCTCCATCCAGCACAGGGAACTGCACCATCTCTGGCTACACTGTGGAGTACAGGGAAGAAGGTACAAACCAAAACCAAAGCATTCCTTGAATGGTCCCTTCAATGATACAGCTCACTATCCATCCATGTCCTCCAATAGGGTCACCACAGGGTGGAGGACAGGGGGTGGGTATCCAATGTGCTAGGGGGACTTTCTCACTCTTTCCTGATGTTGCCAGGACACAAGCAAAGGACATGAGCTCTCTACCCAGCATTTCTTGCTTCTTCCACGTAATTAATTTGTCTTTTCCAGTTAGACACTTCTCTGATGACACTCATTCCTTTTTTTGTTTTGCTGTTGCAACCCATAAACGAAGCAAAACAAGAGAAGAAATTACCTGGTTAAGTTAATTCAGACTATGTTGTGAATGACTTCTAATTGTCCCAGGGATATTTTCACCTATTATGTGGACCCTACCCTTACCTAAAATCATTTACATCTATGTCTCCTAACTTGAGCCCCAAAGTTCATGAACTTATCCTAACTCAGTCTCCTAACTTTTAAAAATCTTCTTTTGTGGATGGACTAGTGACTTCTTGGCCTTTGTTTTTCAGTAATTTTCCTTAGTCTCTCATCTTTCTGATAAAATATGTTCTCTTGTTCTTTGTCTACCAAAAAAACAAACAAAAAAAAAAACCTTTCTAGCCTTAGGGATGAGTTGGTTCTACTCTTGTTACTAAAATCAAGGCAAATTCTACAGTCACCTTGCCTTTATGCAGGTTGCTAGTTCATCACAATCTTTCCTATTTCATCTTTTCTATCATACTGTCCTTAATAGTTTATGAAGCTGGGGGTACCGGGGAGACAGTACAGCTTCAACTTTGGACACTTACCTAGTCACTAAAGACTCCTGAGCTCCAGGATGTCCTTATCAGCTCAGAGTCACTGCCAGCCATCCCTAGGGGATTAGCTGGGGGATAGGTTTCTATATTTAGAGTCAAGAAGGCCCTAAATTGAATCCTGTTTCTGTCTAGCTGTGTGACCATGGGTAAGTCACTTAACCTCTCTGAGTCTTGGTTCTTACACTTCTAAAATGGTAATAATAGGTCACTGTGAGGTTGAAATGAAATAATGTATGTAAACTGCTTTGCAAACTTTAAAGCATTACACAAGAGTAAGTAACTATTTTTACCTTTACAAAGATACAAAGAGAAAGAAAATTATTTCCTATTTTGTAACTCCTAGAATACCTTTGAGCAGCAAATTCAAAATGGAATAGATGTTGCTGACAGGTCCTCCAGGAATCATACTTTTTCACACCCTTATGAAGGAGCTGAAGACTTTGCAGAAAATTAGAAAATGGATTTTCAGAAGTGTTTATAGTGTCCATAAGGACGATCATTTTAGCTTATTGTGAGAAATATACTTTCTTTGATGTATGATAATCTCTCAATTTCTCTTTCTCTCCCTCCCCACCCTTCCTTCTCCTTTTCTCATCCCCCTCTTCTTCTGTTTCTCTTTATCTCTCTGCCTCTGTCTGTCTCTGTCTCTCTTTGCCACTCTTTTTCTCTGTCACTCTCTGTCTCTCTGTCTCTCTCTCTCTGTCTCTGTCTGTCTGTCTGTCTCTCTCTCTCTCTCCTTTTTCTCTCTGTTGGACTCCACAGGTTCCCAGGTCTGGCAGCAGTCTGTGGCTTCAACCCTGGACACTTACCTGGTCATTGAAGACCTGAGCCCAGGATGCCCTTACCAATTCAGAGTCAGTGCCAGCAACCCCTGGGGGATCAGCTTACCCAGTGAACCCTCTGAGTTCGTGAGACTCCCAGAATATGGTGAGCACTGACATGCCCCCTAAGCCAGGGTCTCATCGATTTTCCAAGACACACTAGAGTAGAATTATTTATTGACTTGCTGGGGATGGGGGAGATCTCTAGATGGCTTTTACTTGAATTTACTTTGTCCCATTAGTTCCAACAACTTTTTTTTTAAACTCTTATGCACAGTTGCTTATATACATATTGTGGGAGAAAAACTCGTTTGTTTAGTCAGTGTTTATCAGAGAGAACTTATCTCCAAGTATTGAGAGAAAGAGAAAAAGAGAGAGAGAGAGAGAGAGAGAGAGAGAGAGAGAGAGAGAGAGAGAGAGAGAGAGAGAGGGAGGGAAAGAGATCTCCAAAGAGATCTACTAATTAAAAATCTCCTTGCCCAAGTCATTTTGACTTACATTTTTTGTGATCATGAATACAGAGATAGGTATGCAAAAATCAATTTCAGAGTTTGAAAAAATTTCCTTAAACAGCACAATAGTAAGTTAAATTTCAATGCACTTAGAGAACAGTCTTCTTCAAACTTATTCAATCTGAGTGGAGAAGGACATACTGCTCTTAACTGAATTAATCAAAAGATGCTCCTATTCTTAGTCTGGTTACCACTAAGGGTATGTCCACCTGAGCACACTTTTAGGTTTAATCTACATTATTAACATCTTCTCCATCACTTTCTTAAGTCTAGACAATCAGCAAAACAATAAAGGAAGACCTGATTTGTAACAGCTGCTGATTTCTGAGGTATAAACACTCACACGGAAATTTTAAGCTGGCTCCAACACTCTGCTGGTTACTCCCTAATCTATCTATGCACAAGGAAGCAGAATTCCTCCCTGATTTGGGATTGATTTTCCCTTTAGAAACTGGTTGAGTCTCTAACAAAGATGAGACAAACACACTGCCCTTTGGAATGTTTTTAAATATGGATATGGATTTTCATTCAGTTGAATCCAAAAGACTAAAAAATCTTATTTCTTAATATGTTGCTTAAAGAAAAGAGAGGCCATAATATACGTTTACATTATGTAGAAGCCATGACCAAAAATGCCTCAAAACGTATGTTCTGCCTACCACACACAACTAATCATAGGCTGTTCCATATAAACCCTCTCAGGCTCTGGTCTTCTTCAGCCTAAAGCCAGTAACATAAAGTAGGTTAAGAGAGAGAAAAGGGAGTGTTTCAAATGAAGCGAGGCAGCAGAACTGGAGAATAAGCAAGGGTTAGTTTGCTCGTTGCTCAGAGGTATTGACTACCACAGTTGAGCCAGCTAGATCCTTTAATGGTCAGGAAGCTTATGTTCAGGACCATACAAGATGGCATGCCACCCCCTTGTCTTGCCACCCTACACACACACTCACACACATACACACACATACCCCTACGTTTCTATTCTCCTTCCCCCTATCTCCTACCCAATCATACCTATATCTCCCATTCTCCTAGTTAGTGCTCATGATCTAAACCATGTATTAGTGTAATATACTGCTCCCGAGGGAATATAAAAGATGTGTAAGAACAAAATGAGCCCATAATGATAAATACTGATATTAATATACAATTATTTATTTATAGACAGCTAGGTGGTGCAGTGGATAGAATACCAGGCCTGGAGTCAGGAAGACTAATCTTCCTGAGTTCCAATCCAGCCTCAGACACTTAATAGCTGTATGACCCTGGGCAAGTCACTTAACCCTGTTTGCCTCAGTTCCTCATCTGTAAAATGAGCTGGAGAAGGAAATGGCAAACCATTCTAGTGTTTTTGCCAAGAAAACCCCAAGTGGAGTTACCAGGGTCAGAGAAGACTGAAATGACTGAATAACAACAACAACAACAAGCATAAACATGTCACCAGATCCTATGGATCTCCATTTCCTTGCCTGGAAAATAAGGGAGCTGAATTGGCTAGCCTCTAAGGTCCCTTCTACCCCCAGATTTATGGACCTAGGATAAGTCCAACCCTCTCATTTTGCAGATGAGGAAATGAAGATCCACTGAAGTTGACTTTTCAAGATCTCTCAGCTCACTGGTAGCAGAGCTAGGATGATAACCTTGACCTGACGTCCGTTGAGTCTCCTTCCATCACACTGTAGTGCAGGACTGAGGCTTTCATTATTTTCTTGAAGACCTACAACTACATTGATTAGTAACAAGGCATTATTTAGAAACTGGTGTGATATATAGTTTGTTCCTGGTTTACTAGATGTTCTCTGTATATGACATTTGCTGCCTCCATCACCAGGCCTTTGCACTGGCTGTTCTGACGCCTGGAGTGCATTCCCCCAACATCTCCATCTTAGAACCCTCAGCTTCCTCCAAAGCATAGAACTGGTACCATATCTTCACGAGTCCTTCCCTGATCTTCCTAGTTGTTAGTGCTCTCTCCCTCTTGAAATAACTTTGTATATGCCCCCTTTAGAATGTCTATTCTTCCAGGGTAGGAACAATTTTTCATATTTGCATCTAGCACAGTGCAAGTCACACAGTAGGCACCTTTATATTTGTTGACTGATATGTTCATATAAGTAGAATGTAAGTCTCTTCAGGGTAAGGCCTGTTTAATTTTAGTCTTTTCATTCCAGAAGTGCCCTGCACATAGTAGGACCTTAATACGACACAGGTAGTAAATACTACATTCAGGGTCTGATCCCATCTCCTTGTACTCCAAAATCAGCTTTCTTTCTGCTGTATGTCCTAAAGTCCCTTGCTACTGGCATTCTGTGATCTATAATTCCGAGTTTCTCTGTGACATCCTCAGGAGTACAGCAGCTCACTCAGAGAGACCTGAAATTCTATATCTCTGAGTTTTAGAGTCATCTCAGAATTGAACCCCACCCAATTCCCTCCAGGCCTCATGGGTCTGATCAATCTTTAAAGGTAATAAATACTAGAAGATCCTCTCACTTGATCATATGGAAGTGACAGAGATGGATAAACCTATCCAAGCACAATGGAAACAAAGTAGCTAACCAAGCTGAGGTGGACAGTGTAGAACCTCAAGGAAGAAAATACTCCAATGAAAATAATTCACATGAAGATACGAATGACTGATAGACTCATTAACTTCCCAAGATGATTTGAGTGCTAACATCAGAGAAGGATGAGGAAAAACTTTTCCTAAGTCTGAGGACTAAAAAACAAACAAACAAACAAAAACCAGTCATGGTGGTCTTACCTGTAATCCCTGCTACTAAGGAGGCTGAGTCCAGTGGATTGATCAATAGCTGGAGTTCTGAGCTACAGTAAGGCTAAAGTCAGTGCGGAATCTTCATTGAGTTTGGCACCAGTATGGTGACTCCCTGGGAGCAGAGGATTATCACGCTGACTAAGGAACTGACCATCCCAGATTGTAAAAAGAGCCGATCAAAGTTTTCATGACAAGCAGCAGCAGGATGAAGCCTGGATGAAATAAGGAGATCCAGGGCAATTTTGTTACTACTTACAATTTTTAAAAGATTACGCAATAAAAGTTCATAATTTCATATACAATCTTCTTTTTTTGTTCTTTGTAGGTTAGAATGTTTTTTGTTGACAAATGAATTTATAATTCTTTTTAAAAGAATTTTTGAAAGGAGAATTTCTTTAGGGTTACACTGGAGCTTTCCTTCTTCTGTGACATTCTCAGCATCACCTTTGTGCTTTCTCTCTTCCAAAGATGCTGCAGCTGATGGTGCTACCATTTCCTGGAAGGAAAATTTTGACTTAGCTTACACGGAGCTGAGTGAAATTGGAAGGTAATACTACAGCTTTCTATCCTGGGGCTTGCCTGGAAAAGAAAACCCCATAAATTTATATGTTCACAGCAAAAAAAAAAAAAAAGTTTTAGCTTTTTTAATTTTGAGCAAAGAAATAGTCTGCTATAGTAGATAAAAAGCTTTTTAAATTTTAAATAAAGAAATAGTCTGCTATAGTAGATAAAAAGCCAGCCTCAGAGGTCAGAAAGAATTGGGTTAAAGTCCTGTCTTCGACACATACTGGCTTTGTGACCATGACTCATGGGACCTATCATAGGATGGAGCTGGAAAGGACCTCAGGGGCCATCTAAACCAGCTCTCATTTTACAGATGAGGAAACTGAGGCTCAGGGGGGTTAAGTAATTTGTCCCAATTCCCACAGGTAGTGAGCAAGCTCTCAGAGGGGGAATTTGAACTCTGGTCCTCTTTCTATAAGAGTCCTTCCAAGAGTAACAAGAGGGAGTTGCTGATCTACGTTAGTGAACAGAATTTTCACACTGGAAGATCCCCACACTGATGAAAATCACAAATCTGGACTAAAAAAGTAAAAAGAAAAAAAACTGAGTAAATTACGTTCACTCAGAAAAAAAAAAGTATGTAAATGCCTACTCATTTAACTTTTTTTTCCATTTTAATGATAAAATATTTAAATAAGTATTCTAAAACAAAAAGAAAGACCCTAAGAGAAAGATTAATGGAAAAAATGTTATATTTCCTCTTGAAAAAAAATTTTGAACAAAGGATCAATACTTCATTTTGTTAGAAACCCAAATTGTTTTTTGGGGATAAAGGGAAATAAGAAATATAGATGAATCAGCACAAATCACTAAGCCTGGAAACACAACATGAGAAGTCATGAGACATAAGGAGCATTGAGGTCAAGAGACCTAAGTTCTAATCCTGACTATCATTCTCATTTATAACAATAATAATAGGGCAGCTAAGTGGTGAGGAGGATAGAGCACCAAGCCTGAAGTCAGGTAAACCCCTCTTCCTGAGTTCAAATCTGGCATCAAACACTTACTAGCTGTGTAACCCTGGGCAAGTCATTTCACCCTGTCTGCCTCAGTTTCCTCATCTGTAAAATGAGAAGGAAATGTCAAACCACTCCAGTATCTTTGCCAAGAAAATGCTAGATGAGGTCACAGAGAGTCACACTTAACAATAACAAAAATAGTAATAATTACTAGCACTTAGATAGCACTTTAAGCAGCAGACAGAGGTTAAGTGACTTGGCCAGGGTCACACAGTTAAGTGTCTAAGGACAGATTTGAACTCAGGTTGTCCTGACTCCTGATCCAGCACTTTATCCACTGTGCCACCCAGCTGCCCCTCATTTCATATGCTGTTATTAAATAGATGATTTAGGTTGGGACTAGATCTTGCCTCTCTCATAAATCATCAAGCATAGAATATTAGAGCTAGAAGGGACCCTAGCTATAGTCTAGTCCAACCCCATCATTTTACAGATGACAAAATGGAGGATTAGATAGATGAAGGGACTTGCCCAAGGTCACATAGAGCTAGGCTTCACATCTAACTTCTCTGACTCCAAATTTAGTGTTCTTTTCACCACGCCACATTGTCCCCATGTTTAGGAAGCCATAGGTTATGTCTGATTTGTTTTTCTTTAGTCTTCTTAATATTTTTCTTTTGAATTAAAAAAATTCTATTTGAAAAGAAAAGAATTAATTGAATCTCAAAGGAGGTAAGATGGCAAATAGGCAGACAAAGTAAAGTGGCATCAATTTTATCTCTTTTTTGATCCTCAAAGAATTAGTGTCACATAGAAGTCCACATGGTGCAGTCACGGCCATGTTGGTAAATGTTGAACAATTGGCTCTGTGAATGAAAAAAAAAGCACCCACAATACAATTTTAACTTTAATCTGCATTATTTACATTTTCTCCACATCAAGTTTTTAAGTCTAGATAATCAACAAAATAATAAAGATTTGATTTGTAGCATTTACCAATTTCCGATGTCTAAATGCTCACACTTTAACGATTGGCTCTAAGGAACTGGTACAAGCTGACTAGCACACTCTAGGGAAGAGTATATACTCTGGAGTCTGAGGACCTGGGTTCAAATCCCACTTGTGATACAATCCATGTGACCTTGGACAAGTCACTTTATTTTCTTGGTTTCCAGTTTCATCACATGTAAAATAAGAGATTTTGACTAAAGGGCCTCTGGGGTATCTTCCAGATCTAGACACATGATCCTTTGAATCCAACTCATATGATGATTGGTTGAGGAACTAGTGATGCTCAGAATAGACAAGAGGAAGCTTCTCAGGGTCATTGCCTTGAAATGGTTGAATGGCTGTCATGTGGAATAGGAGATAGACTCGTTTATCACACCTTAAGACAGGAGAACTAAACAGATAGATAGATGCAACAGGGAGACAGATTTAGGCTTGAGGTAAGAAAAAAAATTTCCCAATAATTACAACTGTACAAAAATGAGATTGGCTGCCTCATAAAGCAGTGAGATGCCTTATGCTAAAAGCATTCAAGCCAAGGCTAGATGACAATTTTTAGAGACTTTTGTGGAGAGGACTTGAATCAGGCAGGGTACTGGACCAGGTGACCTCTCAGGTCTCCTTCAAATCTAAGATTCCAGGATTCTAGCTTCTTACCTCCATGACACCAGGAAACGGAGCCCAGATGAGGAAGGTTGCTAACAGAGACCGATGGGACTCCTGGTCAAATGTTAGTGCCTCAATGCACTCAAGGCAAACTTTACAAATCACTGGAAAAAAAAGGTCCAGGGTTTATTGGTGAATCTTGACCAAAGACTGTCTCCCTTTCATGTGATTCCAGGGGTCGGTTCTCCATCGTGAAGAAGTGCATTCACAAAGCTACTCGAAAAGATGTTGCTGTGAAATTCATTAGCAAAAAAATGAAGAAGAAGGAGCAAGCAGCACATGAAGCTGCCCTCCTCCAGCACCTGCAGCACCCTCAGTATGTTACACTCCACGACACCTATGAGTCGCCCACATCTTACATCTTGGTTTTGGAGCTGTGAGTACCAACAGCCTCTCTCTGCCCATTCAGGTGGAACCAGGCCACCATCTGGGCCTGCTGACCCCAAACGGACAATGAAGAGAGTATTGACTCTAGGATCAGAGGACTTGGGTTCAAATCCTGACTCCACTGCGTAGTACCTATGTGACTGAGTTACTGCTTCATGGCCCTCAGTTTTATTATTAGCAGTAAATTATTAATACACTCTTTTCAGATATCCCTAGAAATTGGGCAGAAGTGGAAATGAAGGCTCCCCACTCTCCCATGCCATCCCTGAGAGGCAAAAAGGTTTTTTTTTTCCCACGTAGAGACAAACTCCCCAAAGTTAGGCAAATCAGTCTAAAGTTTGGTCAGATTCAGCCAACTGCTATTCTCCTTAACCCAGTAAAAGGAAGAAAGGAGAAATTTATAGCTCAGGCTATGAACAAGCAGCCAATGTGCCATTGTTCTCTGGGAAAGTAAGAGTAATGACAGATTCACAGAATTACAGAATGTTAGGGTATAATAGACCTTGAAGACCATCTAAACTAAACTCATTTTACCAGTTGGGAAATAGAGGCCACAACCCTGACATCTCATGATACATCATGCAAATGTTCTAATGTTATTCAACACCAATCACTAAACATTTATTAAGTGTTCATAACTGCCAGGCACTGTTATACAAAGACAAAAATAAAACAATCCCTGTATTCTTCTGAAAGGAAAAAAACATGTATGTTATGGGCAACTAGATGGCACAGTGGATAGAATGCCAAGCCAGGAATCAGGAAGTCTTGAATTCAAATCTAGCCTCAGATACTTACTAGCTGTGTTACTCTGGGCAAGACACTTAATCCTGTTTGCCTTAGTTTCCTCATCTGTAAAATGAGCTGGAGAAGGAAATGGCAAACCACTCTGGTATCTTCTCTAAGGAAACCCCAAATGGTGTCATGAAGAGTAGGACACAACTGAAATGACTGAACAACAAAGCAAGTAGTTTTTGAGCTGAAATCTGAAAGAAACTAGTGTTATTTGCAGAAGTGGAGGAAAGAAGAAAGTAAATACATCCCACCTTCCATCTCCATGCCATTTCACTAGCCATCCCCCATACTTGGGATACCCTCCTTAGCTCCCCTTATAGAATCCCTCACAGGATTACAGGATTACAGATTTACAGCTAGAGTTGCTGCTTCTACCTCCCCAACCAATGACTGATTAAATATGAGTTGTTAGGGAGTGTGAGATTTTAAGGGTGATTCTGAGTTTGTGATCTGGGGGCGTGGGAGTACTAGAAGAATAGTGGTATCCTCAGCAGAAATAGTGGAGTTCCAAAGCAGGTAGGTTTTGAGGGAAATATAAGATAATAAGTTCTGTTTTAGACATGTTGATTTTGAGATAGCTATGGAATTTCTAATTTGAAATGTCCAATATCAGTTGGTAACATGGGACTGGTGTTTAAGAGAAAGATATTACACACACACACACACACACACACACACACACATATATATATATATATACACACACACACACACACACACATATATATGTATATACATACACATATACCTACATATGTATACACCTATACACATAGTCATATACACATGTAAATATTTATATATATATGTATGTATATATATATGTGCATGTATTTGTATTTGTACGTGTATATAATATATATGAGTTATCTGCCAAAAGAGGATAATTAAATCCATGAGAATTGATGAAGTCACCAAGAGAGTATAAAGAGAGAGTAAATGTAGACCCAGAGCCTTGAGAGTACTCAAGAAAATGTATAGTTTTGGGGTACACTGGCAGATAGCTACAATGATGCCTTTTCTGATTTTCATAAGCACAATCCATTTACTCTTCTAAATATAACAATATACAGGAAACTTTTTTTTTGATGGGATGAAATTTTCCAAAGGGATGTGCCCTGAAACTGTTCTCAAGGACTGCTAGATTGATGATTATAGCCCTGGTGGTTTGTCATAATGATGACCAGAGGCTATGTTGCCCAGATAACATACTAACTGAAACTTAATTTACGATTATATCAGGTTTGGCTTTGAATGAGGCAGGGGAAGTTTTTCCTGGTTAGCTACCTCTAAAAATGTCCACCTCTTTCCACTTATCTCATTCTTATAATTAAAGGTATGTCTTGCTTTGAAAAGGAAGTGACACTTTGAATATCATATTTTCCATTCAGATTACATTATGTCAGAGCCCCTTGTAACACAAAGGGCCTGGATTCACCCCAGGGGATTTCCTAATTTTCTTAGTTTTTAGTTCCTGCCCAAGAAACCTGGGAAATAGTATATGCATGGTCTTCCCTGAAATATTGAGACTGATTCCCCACTTGCAAACACAAAGTTCATAGGATCAGAGATTTAGATCTGAAACAGCCCTTAAGGGCCATCCAATTCATCCTCCTCCATTTGAGAGCTGGATGGCAAAGCAGATATAGTGCTGGCCTTTGAATCAGGAAGACAGGATTTCAAATCCTGTCTCAGGCACTTTGTGACCCTGGGCAAGTCACTTGACGCCGTTTGCCTTCCTCATCTATAAAATGAACTGGATAAGGAAATGGCAAGCCTCTCCAGTATCTTTGCCAAGAAAACCCCAAATGGCATCACAAACAATAGGACATGACTTAAAAACAACTAAACAATAAGACCTTAGAGCAATATGTAAATGTTAGTTATTTTACAGGTGAGAAAATTGAGGTCTAGAGAGATTATTTGCCCAAGGACTCAGAATGAGTAAGAGAAGTGAAAGACGAACCCAGGAACTCTGACTCTAAATCTAGTGTTCTTTCCACTGTATCCTGCCCCCTCTCAATCAATCAATATTTAAGGGTCTACTATGTGCCAGGTATTGTACTAGGCACTGGGCATACAAAAAGAGGCAAAAGACTGTCCCTACCTCAAGGAGCTTACAATCTAATAGGAGACACAACATGCAAACAAATATATACAAAGCAAGTGAAATACGGGATAAATTAGGAAGTTACTAACAGAAGGAAGGTGCTAGAATTAAGAAGAGGGGTTGGGGGAAAGTTTCCTGTAGAAGATGGGATTTTAGGTAGGACTTAAAGGAAGCCAGGGGGCAGAGAAGGAAAAGGAGAGAATTTCAGGAATAGTGGATAGTCATAGAAAATGCCCAGGGCCAAGAGATGGTGTAGCTCTGGAGTCTTGTTTGTGGAATGGCCAGAAGGCCAGGGTCATTGGATCAAAGCGTATATATATATTGGAGAATAAGGTATAAGAAGACTGGAAAAGTAGGAGGGGGCTAGGTTATAAGGCTTCAAATGCCAAACAGAGCATTTTGTATTTGATCCCCTAGAAGTGATAGAGAAACACTGGAGTTTATCGGGGGGGGGGCAGTAACATGGTCAGACCTGTGCTTTAGGAAAATCACTTTGGTGGCTGAATAGAGAATGCACTGGAGTGGGGAGAGATTTAAAGCAGGCAGTCCCACCAGCAGGCTATTGCAATAATCCAGGCATGAGGTGATGAGAGCCTGCACTAGAGGGGTGGCAGTGTCAGATTGTGGTTCTGGTTTGTCCTTTGTTCTAGAACAGGACCAGGACATCACGGAGACAATGACATGATTTGCAATTGACTTTGATTTGAGTGAGGGAGGGCTATGCAAAGTCACCAAACTCACTTTCTCCTCCAGAGCCATTTGGGTCCAGTGGCCAGATATAGATCGGGACAATTGGAAATGGCCCAGGATGTAGAGGGAGATCTTGGCCTTCTTAAGCTAAGGTCTTTCCAAGTTCTCGCTTTCACTGAGGCAACACCCAGTCAGTGATCAGGCTGTTTAAGAAGTGAGTCAAGGGATGGACACTTTAATGAAAAAAAAAAAATCAAACTGGGAGGGGAAGACCTTCAGAGTTGCTGGCTGAAAAACAAACAATTATTATTTGCAGCAGAGGAAAGAAGGAGATGTATTGGAGAGATGTTGCAAAAGTGAAAGAAACAGTCTTTGGCAACAGATTGGATATGGAAGGCGAGAGTGAAGAATCCAGGATAACTTCTCATTATGTCACAGAGGAAGGTTTTGTTAAAAAAAAAAAAAAAGGAAAAACAAAATAACAATCCTTTAATGAGTAACTATTAGTCCCAAGGTTATGTGTAAATCCCTATATTTACACATATTATTACAGTGCTGAATTTTGATAGTCCTGAGTATGAGGGCTCCCCTGGCAGAAGCCCTTTCTCCCACAGGCCCTGTGTTGACCTGTTGCTCCCTAACTATTGAAGTGGAGACTTTTAAAACAAATTCTCTTTCTGTTTCGACTTTCAGCCTCTCCTTGTAGTGTTTCCATGCTCCATGGGACAGCCAGCCCACCCACTAGTTTCAAAGACCAGCATCTTTCTATGCTATCTCCCCTAGCAAGATGAGGGCAAAATCTTCAGAGCCCTTCTCCTCTCCCAGATTCCCACTGCTCTTGCCCCATTGGCCCTTCCTTTTTCCATCTGCCCTGTAACTGAACTTTGTTTTACTTGTGTCTCCCCGAATTACAATTTACTTGAAATCTGACACTGTCATGATTATTCTTTTTTATCCCTGGGGCTTAGCACAGTGCTTGGTACTCAGTAGGTACTTAATAAATGCTTTTTCATTCATTCAGTGTCTCCCAGGTACCAGCCCCAATACCCTGAATTATACACACTTCATTTTTTATTTACTCAAAAGGAAGGGTAAGTAGGAATAAGGAAAATATCCTAGCACCTACCACATTTCTATGCCTCCTCTCCTCGGTTTGGAATTTTGATTCTCTGAAAATTACAACTGATACTACATATGTACATATTAATATATGTTATATAATGTTCTTACATAATGTCTTTACATGCAATAAACATTTTATGTCTTCCATCATTCGTGTGCATCACCCCCAGAATATACCTATGTGTTTTATGACTAATAACATCACTAGTGATTAACCTAAATATGCTAGTCTAGTCACTGGTCAAATAGTTCAGGTCCTTCTGCTGTGACTTTTTGCCGTCTCTGGATATTCTGTCTCTCTACTATTTATAGGGGAGAAATTATCTTCAGGAACACTGTCCACTGGTCTACATTCTGGGCCCAGGGGTACCAGATAGTAAACAGAATTGTCTGCCGCTTCCAGGTTGGGTGCCGTGTGCAGCCTCTTGAGACCTCAAATGAGGGCATTGTTGGCATGAAGTTGACTGACTTTGGACTTATCTTTTCTCTTCTTCCAATTAATCAATCAACAAATATTGATTAAATGCCTACCATGTGCCGGGCACTGTGTTAGACACTGGACAGACAAGTACAAAGCTAGAAGGACACTTGAGACCAACTCTCATTTTACAGGCTGAGAGAGGGGAGGTAACTTTTCAAGGTCCAACAGCTATGTAGTGGCAAAGCCGTGGACAATCCCTACTTGTAACAAGCTTCTCTTCTAATGGAATATATAACAAGTATGTATATATACAGCATTAAGTTGTCTTTCAGTAGTGTCAGACTCTCCATGACCCCATTTGGGGTTTTCTTGGCAAAACACTAGAGTAGTTTACCATTTCCTTCTCCTGCTAATTTTACAGATGAGAAACTAAGGTAAACAGGCTTAAGTGACTTGCCCAGAGTCACACAGCTAGTAAGTGTCTGAGGATAGATTTGAACTCGGGGAGATGAGTCTTCCTGACTTCAGGAGCAGCACGCCATCCACTGTGCTGCACATAGCATTAATATAAAGTAAATAAATACAAATATACATGAAGTAGGTAAATATAAGATAGTTAGAGGGGATCTAGGAGTTAGGGGGATCAGGAAAGGCTTAATGGAGAATTGAGCTTCACTTTAAGAAGGACTCTTTCTGAAGAAGGAACAGGCACAGAGGACAGCAGATGCCAAGGCATGGAGCCAAGGGATGGAGTGTCATGGGTGAGGAGCAGAGAGAGGGCCAGTTTGGCCGGCTTGCAGAGCTCAGGAGAGGGAGTCATAGTCAGTGAGGTTGGAAAGATAAGTCAGAACCAAGTTGTGCAGGTCTTTACAATCTAAAACAGAGGACTTTATATTTTACCCCAGAGGCAACAGGAAGCACCTGGAGTTGATTGAGCAGGAGAATAACATGGTCAGATCTCTACTCAAGGAAAATTATTTTGGCAACAATGTGGAGTTACTAGATCTGAGAGAGATGAGGAAAGGAAGTGCCTGGAACTCTCCCCCTCTGCTCTGACTACTGACCTCCTTGGCTCCTTTAAGTCCAAACTAAAATCCCATCCTCTACAGGATGCCTTCCCTAAACCCTCTTAATTCTAATGTCTTCTCTGAATCAATTACTTCCTATTTATTTTGTATATGGCTTGCTTCACAAATATTTGTTTGCATGTTGTCTCATCCATTAGATTATAAGCTCCTTGAGAGCAGGGGTTGCCTTTTTCCTCTTTTTGTATCTCCATTGCTTAGCACAGTGCCTGGCATATAGTAGGTGCTTAACATGTGATTGATTGATTCCCTACCTCACAGTCAAACCCAGAGTTGCCCACTTTCAGTGTTACTTGAGATTCTATATAATTGTGTGCATGTACAGCTCAAAGCCATGGTAAATGAATGATTCCTCTATTTTACAAACCTACTTCCTAAAGGCACCAAGACCCACTTTTTCTGAAACATTTTGAAAGCAACTAACAAAACAGAAGGTTTTACCGATTTCATCATGGAAGACATTTTTTAATATGCTGAAATATTGGATAAGAATAGTAACTGAAATTCTGTTAGTATAGAAAACTCCCAGGTGAGTTCACTCCTTCTACTAACCAAGTCAACATCTTCTATGTAATGCATAGTTTTAGAGAACTGCCTAGAGTACTGAAAGATTAAACACTTCACTCAGGGTCACACAGCTAATATACATCAGAGGCAGGACTGGAACCCAGATCTTCCTGGCTCCAAAGTGGGCTCTATCCACTAAACGACACTGCCTCTCAAAGAGTCTAAATATAAAACATCTTCTTCTTGTTGTTCAGTGGTTTTTTCAGTCACGTCTGACTCTTTGTGACCCCATTTGGGGTTTTCTTGGCAAAGATATTAGAGTGGTTTGCCATTTCCTTCTGCAGCTCATTTTACAGATGAGAAAACTGAGGCAAACAGGGTTAAGTGACTTACCCAGCATCACATAGCTAGTACATGTCTGAGGCCGGATTTGAATTCAAGAAGATGAGTCTTCCTCACTCCAGGCCCAGCACTCTATCCACCGTACCATCTATCTCTTCTTTCTTATCGTTGACTTCGTATTAAATGTGAATTCATGAGCTTCCCCACTCCCCTACCAGCTTTGGATGTTAGATGGATCTTTAGTTGAAACACATCTGTATCAAAACGAAATAATTTTACAGGGAGGTCTTTATGGAGTTTGTTTTTAAACATTTTTTTTCCTCTTCCTTTCTTTACCTTTTATAGGATGGATGACGGCCGACTCTTGGACTATCTTATGAATCATGATGAACTTATGGAAGAAAAAGTTGCTTTCTACATCCGAGATACCATGGAAGCCTTACAATATCTACACAATTGCAGGGTTGCTCATTTGGATATCAAGGTAACAGAAAATATGGGTTAGGGACTGGCCCTATGGTTTCATTGATTCAGATGAAGTAACTTTCCCCTACCAGGACAGGGCGGCACTTTCTCTGTAAGCTCTAATTTTAGAGAATTTACCAGAGCAGAGGCTCATATACCCATCACACTCTAGAGTGGGGCTGGAACCAGTTTGAAATGTAATTAGGAAATATTTGACAAAACAAACTAAGTCAACCTGTAACCCAGAGGGATCCTTATATACAGTTTAGTGGCCCACATTTCTATTTGAGTCTGAAACCACTGGCCTAGAGCACTGACTTTCTGACAGTCACACAGCCAGCATGTTTTAGAGGCAGGACTTGAACCCAGATCTTCCTGGCTCTAAGGTAACCACTCTACCCACTACAAGGTCCAGAAAAAAAGGAAAAGATATCAGATCCAACTTGCACAGCCATTACCCTTAACAAAAGTGAATTACATTTTAATTTGTTTAGAAGGACCAAAATTCCAATGAATATTAAGGCTGGGGACTGGACCTGTATGGATTTAATCAATCAAATATTTATTAAGCACCTACTATTTGTTAGGCACTGTGCTAAGTGCTGGAGATATAAAAAAAAAAGGCAAAAGATAGTCCCTGTCCTCAAGGAGCTTACATTCTACCAGACTCTCTTCTATATTACTGAGATCAGTTCCTATATAATTTAAGAAAATTCTTTCGAAGTATAATATTATAGAATGTTAGAATCAGAAGTCCAATGTCTATATTTTACAGATGAAGAAACTGAGGTCCAGAAGGCCTAACACAATTAGTCACTGGTAAAACAGACTAGAACCAGGATCTCCTAGCTTCTTTTCCATAGGGCAGCTAGGTGGTACAGAGCCGGGTCTGAAGTCAGGAAGACTCATCTTCCTGAGTTCAAATCTGGCCTCAGACACTTACTAGCTGTGTGACCTTGGGCAAATTATTTAACCCTGTTTGCTTCAATTTTCTCATCTGTGAAATGAGAGAAGGAAATGGCAAACCACTCCAGTATCTTTGCCAAGAAAACCCCAAATGGGGTCACGAAGAGTCAGACATGACTGAAACAACTCAATGACAACAAAAACCTTCTTTTCCACTCTAGCATGTTGCCTCTCACAGGTGGGCCACATCTAGTAACATCAGCTGGAAAGCAGAAGGATGAGAAAAGGGGGAAGGGCTCAAGTGACTTCCAAACTGGATCACCAATAAAAAATTTTTTCCATAAAATACTGTCCTCGTCAAGGAAAGAAAGAAGTGCATCATCGATAGGGTTTGTTTTCCATGAAAGAGAATTTACTAATTAAAATCTCATGTCCTGAAACCAGAGATGAAATTGAGGGAGACACAAATATTCAGACCCCAAGGGTACAGCAGCAGCCAATGAGGAGATGAGGGAGCTATCCGCTGTTCTCATTCGTTATTTTTACCCCACAGCTCTTCAGCCATCAGTGAATGACAGTATCCATAGCAGTTAGCATGATTTTTGGCACTTAGAAGGTGCTTGTTAGATGAATGCTTCTCAATTGCTGAATTGCCAGCCTATGCCATACTAGTAGTCATGGAAGCCAGAGAGAACCCAAACGTCACATCTATTCAGGAACCCTGGTTCAACCCTACTCTGCTAATAATCATTCAATGCCCTGACCCCTTCTCAAAAAAGTGTGCCCTCTATGAAAAAGTTAACATTATCCCTAGGCAGTTGGTGGGTGGAACAGTAGATAGAGCACTGGGCCTGGGGTCATGAAGACTCAGTTCACTTTCTAGCTGTGTGACCCTGGGCAAATCACTTTACACATTTGCCTCAGTTTCCTCAACTGTAAAATAAGGGTAATAATAGCACCTGCCTTGTAGGTGCTAAATAAATGCCTATTCTCTTCTCCTCTGTCTCCACCCCCCCCACCTTAGAAGGTTTTGGAAAAAAGTATAAAAGGCAGTGTGCTTTAGTGGACTTGGAATCAGAAGATTGGCTCTACCACTTACAACTTGTCTAACCTTGGGCAAATCATGTTACCTCTCTGGGCCTCAGTTTCCTTATTTTGTAAAATGAAGAGGCTGGACCTGATGACCTCTAAAGTCCCTTTCAGCTCTACATCTGTGATCCTGTGATTTAGTTTTGTTCAAACTTCTATCTACCGAAGGTTTACTTTGCTTGGGGAGGAGTAGGACAGTAAATACGCATGTGAATCCAAAGCAGGCAGCGGATGGTATAGTGGAGAGCACGCTGGCCAGTTCAAACCCTGCCTTGCATACATATTAACTGTGTGAACCTGGGTAAGTCACTTACCTTCTTAGCTTCAGGTTCAGCACCTGTGAAATGGGGATAAGAATGCATAGACCTCGGAGGATTATTGCATAGCTCAAAGAGGAGAGCACTTGGAAAGCTGTAAAGTACTATGTAAATGTTAGCTATTATTTTCATCATTACTGATATTCCTATCAGAAAAACAAACTTTTCTCACTCTTACTCATTGCTCTACAGCCTGAAAACCTGCTCATTGACTTACGGATCCCAGTGCCTCGAGTGAAGCTCATTGATTTGGAGGATGCTGTCCAGATCTCAGGTCACTTCCATATCCACCACTTGCTAGGGAATCCAGAGTTTGCTGCCCCAGAGGTCATCCAGGGCATTCCTGTCTCCTTGGGCACAGACATCTGGAGCATCGGAGTCTTGACCTATGTCATGTTGAGTGGTGTTTCCCCCTTTCTGGATGAGAGCAAAGAGGAGACATGCATCAACGTATGTAGGGTGGACTTCAGTTTCCCCCATGAGTACTTCTGCGGAGTCAGCAACACGGCAAGAGATTTCATTAATGTGATGTTACAGGAAGACTTCCGGCGGAGGCCCACGGCAGCCACCTGCCTGCAACACCCCTGGCTACAGCCCCATAATGGCAGCTACTCCAAAATCCCCCTGGATACCTCACGACTGGCCTGCTTCATAGAACGCCGGAAACACCAAAATGACGTTCGCCCAGTTCCCAATGTCAAGAGCTTCATTGTCAGTCGGATGAACCAAGGGACATAAGCATGCTCCCTGCCCCTGAGGCTTGACTGGGATGCACAGTGTGAGCAAAAAGGGAGGCAATGTTGGGTTGTAAATAGTTCTGTGTTAAACCATTTGACTTCCTACAGTTCCCTAGGTTGAGTGATGTACCTCATGCACCTTTTTCCAGTGATTATTCAATGTCTAAACAACAGTAAAAACCCACCCTGAATCTAGGAGTTTTATGATAGTTGGCTAATTACCCTCTCTATAAGATTATTCTACAAAGGCAAGGAATAAGCTAAGTATTGGGATTGTGGAAAATAAAAGGGGTGAGGGTAGGGAAAGGCCTTCATGGCTACTTTCAGGTGGACTTAGGTCAAAATGGAAAATAATGAGTTCCAAGTGGAGTCTTAAATGGAGTCAACTGAAGCTCATGCTAGTGAGCCAATACAGAACTGAAAAGCATTCTCTTTGTTGAGATCTTCAAAAACAACCACAGAGTTCTGTGTAATAGAGGTGGCCCATCTGTCATCTGCTCCAGTTTAGGTATATTAGATATAATTTCTTAATACAAACATATGTGAGCATACAGTAGGTTCCAGAGTTTTATGATATATGTATATATATGTATGTAAAATAGATATAGCTTTAAAATCAATCACCGGTACCTTTCTGTCCTAGAGTTAAAACAGTTATTTATAGGAGCAGTAAGTCGTTTTGACTTAAGCACAATTAGATGATGGATTTTTAAAAAATATTTTATAAAACCTTGTATAGAAATCTTTTACCAAAACCAGAGGAATTGATGTTACCCTTTTTTTTTCCAGTATCTGTAAGCTTATGACTTTGCTTCCAGCTGAAGGTTTGTTTGATGAACACTGAATTGTGTCTATCAAAATTCTGTTTCGTTAACAGCTCAGAAGTCATCTGGTAGAGAAATCTGCTGGAGAACTAGGTCAGCAATGAAACTTAAAATTTAGGTGTCCATTCATGGTAGTGAGCAAATCCAGGGGCGTATTTTTATGCCTCCACCCGACTTTAAAATAGGTCCATGAATATGATATGTTCACTTGATAGGGCCATTAGAAACCTTTCTTACAGTTCTTATCCACGAAGGAGCAGAATTCTAGTTTCTTCTACAGACATGCATCAGACACTGAGAAACTTCCCTTGTATCCTTATCACTGCTATTTGTAGTGATGTTTGTCTACTAGGGGGAGGCAGCCATATGTCTCTCTTCAAGGGCCTGGAAGAAGCAAAATTTCTAGGGAAATGGGTGAAAACGCTCTCTCTGTGTGGACTACCCTTTTGGTTCCTGGATTTCCACATGCTATCAGAACCAGTTTTTTTTAGGGGGTGGTACTCATTATGGGGAGCTGGAATCCACCCTCTCCTGAGCAAAAGCTCCTCACAGCATCACTTCAAAATCAGACTGGAGGACACCCAGGGAGACTTAATTTTGAAGCCATGAAGTGAAGCCTTGTAGATCATCCAAAGGGAACATTGCTTTCCTTAGGGCTACAATAGATGTTACTCCTTAGCCCCAGGCATTTCTCTGGACTCCCAAAACCATTTTGAAGGCTGATGCTGCTCTCTAGACTAGAGTATGCTGTCTCAGAATAACGCTATATTGCTAATTGCCCTTTCTTCCTTGGTAGAAGCAAAAAGTGTTAAAACCTGAGTATTTTTACTCTAATTTTATATAAGACCTAACCCCATACTTTCCAAGGTGTCTTCTAAAATGTGCTGTCACACAGTTGACGTTTTTAAGCTTAACTGAATCATCCACCCAAATAGATTTCCCAGAATTCCTTCTCTCTTCCAGCAGGAAGGACTCAAATCATGCAGGGAGTGCAAGCAGATCATTTGGGAATGGTTCCCCAGTATCCATCTGCATGTTTGGGTGAAAAAATGTTGTAGGTGAAAAAATATTGAAAATCAAACCTGAACTAAGATAATATCCAGAAATCTTTCATCTCACAGTGGAAATAGAGAATTAGTAATAGCTCACTGAATATTTTTCAGAATGTTAAAAGATAACTTTATCATCTGCCCTTCCCTGACTCCACACTATTCCTAAAACCTCCCTAAGTTTATGTATTAATAAATTAGTAGTAAGTACAAGCAATAAGACTAGGTAGCACTTAGCATTTTCGGGATTAACCAAATATGTGTAAACCGACTCTGACTGTATTTGTTTTCTAGCTTGTGAATGGCCTTGGGTTACCAATTCAGATGCCTTGGAGACTATTGACTTGATCTATAAATGCTCCATTCAAACACAGACACACACGGTTTTTGATTTGAAAAAAAAAATCATCTAAATTCCTAAGTCCTCCATAGTAGAAAAATACCAATACAAAATATGATGGACCCTAGCCTAGGATTTATTTTGCAAAGGGGAGGGGGAAATGACCTCATTGTAGGGTCAGAGAATCATTTGAGTTTTCAAAAGGTGCCACGCCATTTGGTGTGTCCATTTCTTTTTTCTTCTACCTAGAACAGATGATTTAAAGAACTCTCTTGAACATCAATAGAGTTATCATGGCCAGGCAAGACAGCTGAGTGTTGGTTTCTCAAAAGCAGAGCCTAGACTAGGAGGAATGCAGATTGGGTGTGATGGCTAAAGAATTGGAGTTGAAGAGGCAGTGTCAAGGAGAAGTGGCCATGTGCAATATATCAGCTATGGTAGGGGCTTCCATATTTCATCAGCTTTGGGATGACCCAGGAATGGTTGCCTAGATTGCTCCAGAATAAATAACTGGAAAAGTTCAAATGAAAGCATGGTGTGGTGGGGGAAAAAAATAGATCTAGAGTCAAAGGAACTGGGTTCAAATCCTCGCTCTGCCACTTACTCCCTATAAAATATTAGAAAAGGCATTTAACCTCTCTGCGTCTCGGTTTCCTCATCTGTAAAATTATCAGATTGAACTGGATGACCTTCTAACTCTAAATCTATGGTCCTATGAAAAGGCATTTTTGATGGTCATGTTGGATGCTATTGTTAATTAAAGCCAAAGTGTAATTACTGATATTAGAGTAAATATATATGTGTATGTATGTATATATACATAGATTTATGTATGTATGTATGTATGTATGCATATATATCAGAGGCCCCAAGGGAAAGTGAGGAATTATCCATTTAATTTAGCCATAGAATTCCTTAACAGTGAGGATCACTGTATACATAGTTCTCTGCCCTTTTAGAAGGTATGGTCTAGCTTAGATCCAAGGATTCTCCAAATTAGCACTTCAATAAGAACCAAAACCATGGAATCTCAGACCTTTTAAGCAATTTTTTTTCAAGTGGGTAAATGGAAAATAGAGCTAGGTAATATACCTTTGGTATATCATGTAGGGTCACCTATGGTGAGAGAAAGAAAAAACATTTGAGACCATTTCCTTGTACAGCTAGAACCAATTACCATACTTCACATAATTACAACTTCAAATAGTATGAATTCCCACACATGTGACACTTCACTGGATTCATCATTTGGACTCATCAAGACCTAGCTGTGCCTGCCCTGAACCAAAGATATTTACAGAATTCCTAGGGAAAGAGGGAAAGTTTCACTTTTGCTAAAATTGTACTAGACCTTGAAAATAAGTTTATTGGGCATGGCTAATAAAAGTATCCCACTTAGACAGGCTACTCAAGTTCTTTTGTAAGCTGAGATTGTCCAAATTCACTTATGCTCATTGGGTAGGGTTTCTTTTGTTAGGAAAAGCATGAGAAGGAATAAGGGATGAAAGGGTAAAGGTAAAGGACAACTCAATATAAATTAATTTGGGATGATTTGTCCCTTTCAATATGGTCTTAGAGAACTAAGCATTCCCTTAAAATGTATGAGGAAAGCTGAGAGTGAATTGTGGGAATGGGAGAGTGGGGAGAGGGTGTACTTTTGACTTCTTAAAGTCACAAAACAATATAGAGGAAGGGAGAGAGTACAAGAAGGGAAGGAGGGATGTTGACTTTGGTGCTTTGTGGTCCACTTTAAAACAGTTGTGCCTTTCAGAGGGGAGGATAGGAAATACTAAAAACTGTCATTTTTAGCTTTCCTGAATTCTTGGTACATGGGCCTTACTTTTCTCAACAGAAGGAGGAGGGGAAATCCGAGCCCAGGGCAGAGCCAGGAATTCCATGTTTTCTCATTTCAGTGTGGACCTTGACTTCTTCCTTCTCTGTAAAATACGTCATGGAATCCTTCTGCCCTGAATGTAGCCCTTGGGCAAAATAAAGGTGGGAAGAAATGTACACACCATTCACTCCACTCCCTAGCCCATGGGCAAAATAAAGATGGGAGGGAGGGGAATAGCTTCTTGAATCTCACAGGACTATTAACAAATATACCAGTTAATCATACGTGAAACAGACTTTGGATAAAGTGCTATACACTGCCAATACTGACTGTTTTATTGTCCTTTTCAAACAAACAAACAAACCAACCTCTCAAAATTCCAATTTTTCTAGTATTCAACTTCAGGCATCGCTTGCCATCTTATCAGACTGGATTCTCTTGCAGGATTCATAGATGAAAACATTACATGCTTCTTATCCTACTATTACTTGGTCTTATATAGAAACAAATCATGATTTAAGAGAATCCATTGCCTGGAAAGGGAGTAGAGGAGCTTCCCTAGTGAATAAAATCCATCCTCAAGGACCAAACACCACCCCTGTTTCTTCTCATGAATTTTGCTTTAGAGACATGCAGGCCTGGCTTCCTCTCCTACCCTCTACTTTCCATATCTTACTGTCTGAGTGATTGCAAAATACCATTAGTTACCAACAATTGCAGAGCTTCCCTCGTGTTTCCTTGGTAACTCCCATCCCCAGTGAATCAAGGGCACAGGGTAGATATCTCTGTGGTTGCTGTTTCAGTGGGGAGAAAGGGGTTGGAATTTGGAGGCAACCAGGCCTTTTGAGAGTAACCTATTGGAAAACAACTTCCTGTGGCCTAAAACTGTGTATACTTGCTAGTCATTCCTGAATCCTTGACGACTGGAAGGGCTCTAAGTTTGGGTCCTCAAGGCCCTATGGGAACAAAGGTGTCATAAATGAGAAACTAGTGGTGATTTCCTTGTGTTTACAAAAAACCTTTGCCCCATTTTTGCAATCAAAAGCCCCTGCAAATCAGGGGAGAGAAATTATGACTCTAGCTACCCTAATGGCTGGGTGGCACTGCCAACAACCACTCACTCAGGGTGAATGGTGACCAATGCTGGGTGAGTGGGAAGGAATGTATACACCATTCATTCCACTCCCTAGATATGAACTCCTACAAGGAGTCTGGGATAGGCAAACATATTTGTAGGCTTATCAGTTTTTTGTATTTATTTGTAAAGCTGTGTTAGGATTTCCCTTAGTTTTATAAAAAGAAAAAATCTAGGGACCATTTAAAAATTGTAAATAAAACCATGGGGAGGGGACGGGGGAGATGCCCCTGACATTCACATATGCACCAAAAAAGAAAGTAATATATTAATACTTGTTCTTTAAGTACTATGAGATCTTCAATTGTTTCATTAATTGTTATTGTGAATAAAACTGTCCCAGCAAGCCTGGAATCTGGGCACAGGTATCTAGATTTTTTTTAAAGGTTGTTTTGGGGATTTTTTTTGTTTTTGTTTTTGTTTTTTTTAAGTGTGAGAAATCTATACAGGAACATAGAAAAACTGGCCATGTTTTCTGTGATATGATTAAGTTTCTTCCTCAAACTTAGAAGCTAGAGGAGGACAAAAAGCAATCATTTTAAGATAACTTTCAGTCCTCAAAGACCAGTGTAATGGCTCCCAAGAGGAACCATTCTACAAAGGACATACTGACACTGAAACATTCTATTGATTCAGTTTTCCTGCCAACTTGCTCACTGGTAGATTCAAAAAATGAGAATCTTGACCACGTTCCAACCTGGGGTTCAAACTTTCTGCTCTATCAGAAAGCCATGTTTTGGAAAGTGAGGATAGGGAGGGAAGATGAAGGGATAGAGTGAATGGAAAGAGACAGAAATTAAGTAAATAACAAGAATCCCATATCATGAGGCTGAATGTATATATCTAGCCTGGCACTAGCTGGACATGTTGGCACTCAGTAAATCCTTGACTGACTAATTGATCGATACTGCCATCAGTAATAGATCCACATTTTGGAATGCTATGGTGACTGTTACCATGCCATTCGTTAGAAGGCCAACTCTGTGCTGTCATTGTGGTCTTTGAACATGAAGCTAGCAAAACCAACATCTCACTCACTAAACTTAAGCCATATCTCTCATCTCTGTGTCTCATACTTTTTTTTAAATTTTTTTTTTTTGGCCCTGGTGCTTTGACTTCAAATCTGCCGAACGGTTCAGTCTGCTCTGTTGGGAAAAATGACTGGAAGGTAGAACAAATGTGGGAGATGTGGCAACCCTGAACACATTTCCTTCAGAATGAGAGCCAACCACCAAGGGAAAGTACTGGTTTAAGAACAAACAGGTGGAAAAAGACTGATCTGTATCTGCACACACATAGAAATAGTGTATCATGTCTATGTCTATCTTATAGTCCATATGTAGAATACATCAGAGAAACATAAAGAGAGGCAGTGGGGTATAGTGGAGACCTTCAGTCAGACAACCTGACTTCTAACCTTAGTCCTAGTCCCATTGTGCAGCCCCAAGCCTCAGTTTCCTCATCTATAAAATGGTGATAATGAGACTTACCTACTTCACAGGGTCAAATGAGGTAATGTATGTGAATGCCCTATAGAAACGTAAGCTATTATTATCATCAGTTTACAGAGAGGTCACTTCATCTCTCAAGGCCTCAGTTTCCTAGTATGTAAAAAGGAATGGGTTGGGCTGAATGGACTCTCTAAAGCTTCTTCGAGCTCAAAACCAGCTATGATTCTGTGTTTCCCGACCTATAAAGGTCCAGATCAGCCAATATTCTAAAAGGGAAAAGAATTTCCAGCTGTTTAAAACCATTAGAACTGATTGGAGCTAAACAGAACCAACCAACTCCTGCTCAAGCAAGAAACAGTTCTTTACTTTTCAAAGCCATCAAAGCAAGGTGCTCTCAGCCTAAGACAACCCGCTGACTTTATTGTTTGGTTTATCCTACTGACCGGAGTCAGAAATAACTTTGCACTTGAATCGTTAACAACCCCATTTGCAGGCACAGAGGGGCAGTTCAGAGCAGCCAGGGAGATCTGGATTCAAATTCATCTTCCAACACTTACCTCCCTGTGTGACCCTGAGCTTCTGTGTACCTCAGGCAATTCTTTAAGCTCCTCTATGGAAGTCAAGGAGGAGGAGTGCCTGTGTTTGTGGAGGGAATCCTCACACTGGGATTTCCCTCTTTCCACTGGTAAAATCATAGAACTTATCCCTTTTCTTCCAACCCTTCAATGAATGACTCAAATAGGTTCTGGGAACTTGAGGTGGGCCCTTCTGGCCATACATAGAAGGGGCTTATCTGTATCTGGGCAGGTTTCTCCATATGGACCATACATACACATAGAAGTACACTCAATCACATTAGACTTTGTTAACAATCAACAGAAAAAAAAAAAGAGAGGAAAAACAACAGTGAAAAAAAATGCCACTCCACAGTATTGATCAATAGCTCAATATTTTCAAGGTGCAAAAGAATTCCACAGCCTTAATTATTTCAGTGTCTTGCTGGTCTGCCTTAAGTGTATTTTCTGTTTTATGGTAATTTTTTTTCTTTTTGTATACATACAATGTCGTTTTGTAAAGGTAGGTTGTAAATATTTTATTTGTAAGTCAGATCCCCCATGTGTCATGTTGTAAAGTGGTGATCTGATATCATGTTTATGATTACAAACAGTCAATGTTACAAGCTGCA